TTCGGTAGCGGCCTCTCAGTCACCAGCCAAGTGAACCTCAAGCCGGCGGGAGGAACGGGAGCTTGTTCTGACCCCGAACTGCCGGGTGGTGGGACAGGGGGTGAATACAGAAAGCCCCTTACCCACGGCTGTCCCTCTCCTCTCCCCGCCCCCTCGCTTCGCTGTAAGTACACTCACCCGGGGCGTTGGAGCTACCCGCCCGGAACAAGGCCGCCAAGCTTCGCTTAAATACATGGGGAGCGCATCTGCTTAGGTGCGCATATACCTACAAGCAGTGTGTGTGCTGTATACTACTTCGTGTATCTACACCGATCCTGAGTTTCCGGTATTTGTGTTGTGCGTGTATTATTTAAGCGCAGAGAAGCTATACCTAGTGTATAGGCAGGTTACTTTATATACATATCTCTCTTTCTCTCTAAATAGTGCTTCAGATTTAAAAGGCACTCCCTCTTCCTACCTCCTTTTCCTTCTCTTCCCCAGCCCCAGGCTTCGATTCATCCTTTTGCTCGCAAGCACTCGTTGGATTTGGCCCGGGTGGTTCCCGCATCCCCACGCCTTGCTCTCGCCGTCTGCTTGTCGCAAGTTCCCCGCTCATTTGTTTACTGTGTTTTCCAAAAGCTCACCGCCACCCGACCTTGTTCTTTAAAGCAGTGAGCAGACCAGTAACAGTCCCAGGAGCAGAGCAGCCATCTCCCTCCCTCCCTCCCTCCCTCCGACACACACACCCACGCACAAAGAGAGCTCGGGCTGGAAAGTGGCAAGGAAACAAACAGCTTCCCCTCCAGCCGCTTCTTCTGCAGCACCTCGTTTGACAAATACCCTGGCGCTTGCCCTTGAATTGGGTTTCACATCCCTATTTAGCACTTGGACAATGATTTTAGATGATGTCACTTAAAGCCAAACAAGAAAATTGATCTCGGATTTGCTTGGCCTCTAAAGCCTGGTTAAGCAGATTGCAAATAATAATAATAAAAAAGAGAGAGACGGAGGGAGGGAGGGAGGGAGGCAGAGGGGAGAGCGGCAAGAAGGAGGGAGAGACGCCTCCTTCCCTGGGCGGGGGAGGCGCGGGCGCCAATGAAAAGTAGCCGCTTACTGGGGGGGAAAAAACTTTTCCTGTTGACTGTTGGAAGCGAATTGAGCAATTATCTAGTTTACCTTCTCCTCTTGGAAGTTAACGATTGGCGAGATCTTGGCTGCGTTATTGACACAACACTTTCTATTGATAGAAATAAGTAGCGATTGTCCCGAGTCACTGGTGCGCCAAAGTAAACTGTGATGGGCTGGCATGAGTCCACTGGACTAAGAAGGCTGGTTCCGCCGGCGGAGGCTGTGGTGATGGTGGCGGCGGCGATGCTGGTCTCCCTCCTTGCAGATCAGTGACAAGAAAAGGGGCAGAGAGAGTGAAAGAGAGAGAGAGGGGAGAGGAGGGGGAAAAAAAAAAAAAGAGGCGTCTACCAAAGCGGCTCAAACCGGGCGAACAAATGCAATCCAGCCATGGACAATAGTGGCCACCACACGGCGACCAAAATCCTAGCGACTCCTCCGGCCAGAGAAAGCCTGTCTGCCAGGAGCAACATGATCAGCACGCCCAAGCCCCTCGCCTTCTCCATTGAGCGCATCATGGCGCGGACGCCAGAGCCCCGCTCCATCCCCGTCCCGCAGCTCCTCCACGGCTCCGTGGCCAAAGGCGACCCCAAGCACCCGCTGCACCTCAACTCCTCCATCCCCTGCATGATCCCCTTTGTCCCGGTGGCGTACGACCCCCTGCCCAAAGCGGCGGTGGCCGGAGCGGAACCCAGGAAGGCTCATTTAGACTCCTCTTCCTCGCCCTCCTTTAGCTGCGGCGATCTCTTGAACTGTGCCCTGAGCTTGAAAGGAGATTTCCCCCGCGATGCCCTGCCCTTGCAGCAGTACAAACTGGTAAGACCCCGAGTGGTCAATCACTCCTCCTTCCACGCCATGGGAGCCCTGTGCTATTTCAACCGAGGCGACAGCCCTTGTCACCCGTCCTCCAGTGTCAACATCCACCCGGTGGCTTCTTATTTCCTCAGCTCTCCCTTGCACCCGCAGCCCAAGGCTTACCTGGCGGAGCGGAACAAGCTGGTGCTGCCGTCCGTGGACAAGTACCCGGCGGGGGTAGCCTTCAAGGACCTATCGCAGGCTCAGCTGCAGCATTACATGAAAGAAAGTGCTCAGATCCTCTCGGAAAAAATCGCCTACAAGACCTCGGAGTTCAGCCGCGGCTCCCCGAGCAGCAAGCCCAAAGTTTTCACGTGTGAAGTTTGTGGAAAGGCAAGTAGAGCCGCAGCCCGCCTCCCTTCCCCCTGCTTCCCCAGCCTCCTACCCCCGTCCGTCTGTCCGCCGGGTTGTCGGTCGCTCGCTCGCTTTATTTTTAAACGACGGCTTCCCCTCGGCGCTCTCGCCTTCTAATCGCAATTATTTTTTTGTCTGATTTCACTCTGAAGGTATTTAATGCACATTATAACTTAACTCGCCATATGCCGGTGCACACGGGAGCCAGACCCTTTGTTTGCAAAGTTTGCGGGAAGGGCTTCAGACAGGCGAGCACGCTCTGCCGGCACAAGATCATCCACACCCAGGTGAGCCTCCATCCTTCCCTCCTTCCCTCCCTCCCTCCCTCCTTCCCCGAGACCCCTTCGCTCGCGCTTTTTGGGGAGCCCGGCGTTGTCCCCTCCTTCCACCCCTTCGCTCGCGCTTTTCTTTTGGCGGGGTGCCCCGCGCTGGGAGCGGGGCCAGGCGACGGCGAACGGCGAGCTAAAACACAAGCCCTGCAAACCAGCACACGAGCCCTGCAAACCAACCACGGCTGAGCCGGAGCCGCCGGGGGATTTCGTTTGGGGTACCGCGGGGTGCCCCGCGCTGGGAGCGGGGCCAGGCGGCGGCGAGCCGTCGGCTAACACACAAACCCTGCAAACCAGCACACGAGCCCTGCAAACCAACCAACAAGGCGCGACTTGGCGTTTGTTTCCCTCCAGGAAAAGCCGCACAAGTGCAACCAGTGCGGCAAAGCCTTTAACCGGAGCTCGACCCTGAACACACACACGCGAATACACGCCGGCTACAAACCTTTTGTCTGTGAATTTTGTGGCAAAGGATTTCACCAGAAAGGTACCAGACTCCAGCGCCCTCTCCCTCGCCCGGGGCCCCCCTAGGCGATGTCAAGCGTCGGGACAATTTGCGATGGGGGGGGGGGGGGGGGGGTGTTTTTAATTTCTGTTATTAGAGATTTAGGTTAATTTTAAGTATCGCGAGCCCCGACACATTTCCTACGGCACGGCCCACGGAGTGGGGCAGGGCTTTCGTTGTCGAGGGAGCGCGGGGGCAGCCTTCCCGCGGGCAGCGCCCGTTTTCCGCGCACTGCAACGCGCAGCTTCCAGCGCACCCTGGCAAACGAGTTCGCCGCCTTTTTTCCCCTCCGCGTGCGGGAGTTTGGTTAATTTTTCTCCCCGTGTCGCTGGGCAGGCTAAACCCAGGGGTTTTATTTCGGCAATTGATGTGATTTCGGTTTATTCGATAATTCCCTTCTCGTCTGTCGAAGGAACAGCCGCGGGGAGGACGGGGAGAAGGCGGGCGTTTGCTAAGAGATTGGCGGTCGCTTTCGGCCAAAGCCGGGCTCTGGGGACGGGGCAGGGTTTGGGGATTTTTTTTCTCCCCCTTGCAGCGTCCAGTTCTCACCCCCCGGTCCGTTTGCCCTTCTTGTCTCGTCCCCAGGCAATTACAAAAACCACAAGCTGACTCACAGCGGGGAGAAGCAGTTCAAGTGCAATATCTGCAACAAGGCTTTCCACCAGGTGTACAACCTGACCTTCCACATGCACACCCACAACGACAAGAAGCCCTTCACCTGCCCCACCTGCGGCAAAGGCTTCTGCAGGAACTTTGACCTCAAGAAGCACGTCCGCAAGCTGCACGACAGCGCCCTGGGACTGCCCCGGC